TTCAATCCACCAGAACCTCACCTGGCGCCTCGAAGCCCACGTGTGTCGACACCAGCGCCAGCGACAGCGACGGTGGCCTCCAAGCTGTTGTCTGAGATGGCTTCTCGCTCTGCACGCTCGCTGCCGAGCGTGGTGTCTCTTGTTGATACACCAGTGGCTTGATGTCGTGAGTGTCGCCGATGTCGCCGCTGTCTCCGCCGTTCCAGCCATCTTCTCCAATGTTCTTCATCAGTGCTTATGTTGCGTAAGTGCAACTTTAAGAGGGGGGGGTAATGTAATGGGCCCCCCCTTTTTGGCAGAGGCTCCCGTTACTCCATTACATAAGTAGGTAGATTTCTTTACATAAGTAGGTGCATCAGCACACGACTAGCGTGTGCTTAAATGCTGTCATGCCATTGGCTGATATATGTGGAGCCAGACCCATTATTAGCCAATTGAACTATGACGTGTATTTGAGTGGCCAGGGCTGTGGCCTTGGTCCTAAAATAAAGTCAGAGTTGATTTTTCCTTAAACCTAAGACTCAGTCGTCCTATTGCGAGCTTCCTCAACACTATAGTGTAAGCAAGTAACGGAGTAAATACCTGGCCCGCTACAGGGCGGCACTGATGAAGGAAGCGGTGAAAAAGAGCGAGAGTGTAGTAGCACGCCGACTTGTATAGCGCTACAAGAGGCACTGCGTGCGTCATTGCTTTGCTGTGGAGTGAGGTGATGACATGCAATTCGGAGCTTAGGTTAAAGTTTTGCAGTTTGCTTGGAATATGTGACAGTGCATTTTGCAAGACATGTAAAATGATTTGTTTTGTCCATTAGAGCTCATTCGTACATACAGAGTATGTGTAACAGTACCATTCTAGAATTCTGGAACGCTGTAGTACAATTCTGGAATGGAGTTTACACATGTGGATAGAAAACATCTGATGATTTGATCGCTATATATTTTCATAGTTCGCATGCGAAGAGATAGTAGCCATTATTCGCCCTATCTGTTTGCTGAGATAATGCAAGACGTAAAATGCAGTTCCTCGGTCATTTCCGAATTTTCTATCTACAATATTAGGCCACTATGGTACGCTCCCAAGACCGCTAAGACCGCGCCGCTGAGACGCTCAACGAGGCCGACTTTCGTGCCTCCACTGCCGAGTTATTTGAGCGGGAGGAACGTCGCAAGGCAAAGGTCGCTCAAATCGTCGTACACAGCCGCAGAGACGACAATGACGAAGGGGACAACTCCGGCGTGGGAACTTTGCCGTCCGTCTTTGACTTCTGCTTACAAGCTGAAGGGCCCGATGGGGTGCTCAAGCTCACCAACTTTGCGCCAGAGGAGTTCGACCATGTTTGGGCAGCTGTGTACCCTCATTTGCAGGGGAAATGGAACGTGGGCCGCGGTAAAAATGCCGCTACGCTGCGCGCGACGTTTTCTTTATGACGCTGAGTTCGCTCAAACATCTTGGAAAATGGGACACCGTTGCTCGAGTTTTCAGAATCCCGCCATCCACTTTCAGAAAATGATCCGCAAGTTTATGGATATACTGTCTCCTATTCTCTACGAAATGTACGTAGAGAATGCGAATGACCAGTGGACACTGGGGAAGATTGTACGATCAGGGCATGGGTTGAAGTACTTCCCGTATGCTCGATATGCTACGGACGTTACCTTTCAGCATGCTAACAAACCCAGTGGTAGCATGAGCGAGAGCTTACGCTATTACAGTGGCAAACACCACTTGTATGGCTACAAAGTGGAGGTGTCGGTGCTGCCGAACGGTGTCGCGATTAATTGCACGGAGCACACCGGTGGGAGCACGCATGACGCTGAGATTTTTCGCAGGAACGCAGCATTTCATTCGCGAGCTCTTCACAAACACTCTAGTGATGCCAATGTGCGAGACGAAGGGAGACTACAAGACAAGTATCCGAAAGAATGGGCGGTGTTAGTCGATAAGGGCTACCAGGGTATGGCGCGTGAGTACCGAGCAATTCACCCCATTAAAAGCGGGCGTCTGCAGCCGCTCTCGCTCGAGGACGCCAGCTTTAACGACGAGCTCGCGCATGACCGTGTCATTGTTGAGAATTTTTTCGGTAGATTGAAGTCTCTGTGGGGAATTTGTTCCGACAAGTGGAAGTTTGACGAGACCTCTTACGACCTATACTTTCGGGCTTGTGTCGCTCTTACAAATGTCAATATTCGATTAAGGCCTCTTCGGAACGATGACGGAAATGACAACACCAAGTACGACACTCGTTTGCGCGAAATTGGAGCAAGTACACTCGAGAAGCAAACAAGAAAGCGGAAGCGCTATCAAGCCAATCGACAGGCAAGGCTTCGTACGGCATACCGTCGGCGGACTAGTCTCTCATGCTCCATTTATATGGGAGTTGAAGAAGACTGTAGCGACGACGATACACAGTTGTGATATTGTCACCTATAAAAGCAAGATACGGAGTTGTATTTGTGAAGTTAGTACGAGTCAGCGTAATTATTGGAGCATGCGTTCCGATAGACTACCATATTCGCTAAGTGCAGATCAAAGCCAAAAACTACCTTAAATCTAACGATATACCAATCTAAAATACGAATTTGCTACGAATTTGAGAAATTGAACAATGTTCTGTCATATTCCAAGTAAGTAATTTTGAGCCCTATTGTGTGCGTCCCTGTTTTTTTCGCTTTGTAGTTTGGTTGGTAAATATTGATGTTTGGTCGGGAAATGGTGTACACCTTTTCCAGTCCAATAAGGCCAAGCGCAAATGGTATTAGCCAAGTGCGAGAGCAGTTTGGCCAACAACAAAAGCGAATTGATGAAGAGCAAAGGCAAATTGGCGCAACCTATCAATATGCATACTTGAAGATCATTCGTTAGCGCAGTGAATGACTGCGTATGTAGGCAGCGCACGTAGGCTTCGCGCCTTCACACGCTCTGCATTCCTTCATTCCGCCAATGCGCACGCGATCTCTTTGGTTCCGCCAATAAGCAGCCTCAAACCGAGCCCAAAGGGGAATTCACGAGCTTCAACATACTCTAGCGAGATCTTCCTCGCCTCAAAGGCTTCTCGTTTCGGTCTCATTCCTCCATTTTCTCCCTTCGACGCTGATGCCGACTAAGTATCGCCGCTACACGCTCTACACGAAGCTTCGCGTGCTTGAGGCTGCCCGTAATGGTCTCGACTGGGAAGCTGTCGCTGGAGACAACAACGTGAATCTCAGCACTGCTCGCAATTGGGTACAGCGCTACCCCAACTTTGAGGACGTGATCAGCCCGGCGCCTCGTGGTGGAAAAACCGCGCAAAAGATGACCCCAGCATGCGTGAAGTTCCTACAAGATCAGCTCGCCACTGACCCCGACCTCACGCTACGGCAGCTTGCAGACATGCTCGAGACATCGCTTTGTGTAACGGTGTGCCCTCAAACCGTGAAAAACCACCTCGATGCTGCTCTAATCACCATGAAGCAATTCCACAAAGAGCCCCAGTACATGAACACTGCGCAGAACAAGCTTAAGCGCCCTGATTATCTCATTCAGCTGCAGCGTTATCAAGCGGCTGGTAAGACGATCATCTACATGGACGAGACCAATTTCAATCTCTGGTCTACTCGCACTAGAGGGCGCAGCCGCCGTGGCCAGCGTGCTGTGAAGAAAGTTTTTGCTGGTGGCGGCCAGAACTTGCAAGTGATTGCGTGCATCGGCATCGGCGGCGTCGTGCACTACGAGCTGCGATTCGGCGGCAACAAGTATCTGAACTCGAACGAGTTCATCCGAGCCACGCTGCGAAAGGTTGAGAATCTCGACAACGTCGTTCTTGTCCTAGACAACGCGCCATGCCATGCTCGAGCTGAGCACGTCTTTGAGGAGCCTGAGTTTGCTGGTGCTACACTGCTGCGTCTTGGGCCTTATTCGCCCATGCTGAACCCGATTGAGAATGTATTCTCTGCGTTCAAGTCTGCTGTTAAGGATTACATGACCGAGCACCGTGCAGACATTCTTGCTGTCCCTGAAGGTGTCACGATGAAGGCGCACAGACAGTTCCATCTCACACGCGCTGCTCGCTCGAAATTCCCTGAGGTTGCTACACCAGGTCTGTGCGAGGCATGCTACCGCCACAAGCTCACCTTTCACGTGAAGGTTACGGACCTCGAAGACATGCCTGTAGGCCGTTGAAGCGAGCCAGACGAAGTGCGTGCATCACGACACGCAATCACTGTGTAAGTGCATATGTAGTGTAGTAGTTCTTCCAATTTGGCTTTGCTCTTTATCAATTCGCTTTTGTTGTTGGCCAAACTGCTCTCGCACTTGGCTAATACCATTTGCTCTTGGCCTTATTGGACTGGAAAAGGTGTAGTGTCACGACTATTAACCGTGTACTTACGATTTCCTCACGCGTTTTGGAATTTGATTTGTGCTAAATCCACTTCTAATTACTAAAAACTAAAGCATTTACAGTAGCGCAAGTCAGAATCTGCTGTCTTTCAACGATTTGAGGTAGAAATGAAATCTGTGGGATGATTGCTAAATCGGTGCTCCATTATTATTTACTACTTACTTCGAAGTAGTGGGTGAACGGTGTACCTTTCATTTTTGATATTGTGCGCTTAAAAACAATTCCGTGCACTCTTCTTTAATTGGGAATTTTTAACCGTACAGATCTGGCTTGAGCTAAAATCCACTTATGTACGATCTACGGAAATACGATCTGGTCCGTTTCTAAATACCAGAAAATTTGCAAGCGAGTGGCTCGACGATTACAGGACCAAAACGTCAGAGGATCAAAAACTCCATAGCACGAACAGAGACACGCGAATGCAAACATCAAATCAAAGTGCTGCGGCACACGGGCGCCGATAGGCCAAAACTCAAATTCTTTTCATCCAATACCACTAAGTATTGTGTTGGGTACGCGACAAAAGCGGGGGTTACTTCTTGATATTAGTAAGCAAGAAGCAATCCACTCGTCCTAGCGGTTAAAAAGAGGGGAGGCATCACACCCACCATTTCTGCTTGGAGTCCGCATCACTCAACGGGTCACGACTGCCAGACACCATGCAGCGCTTCCAGGTGCGTCCTACAGGCGTGGCCGCAACATGTTAACAATGTACTAAATGAATTATCGGCCGTGTATATACAGACTGCTCTCCGCAACAAGAACGTGTGGCAACGTGCGGCCGTCTTTGACGTGCACCACGCCAGCGCTGCGGCCCGTCGTGAGGCTTCGATGGCCATGTCGGCCCGTAGCTTCAGCTCGCTGCCCGACCACGAGGTTGTAGGTCTGCCAGCGCTGTCCCCTACTATGGAGGTGGGTACGATTGCCAAGTGGAACAAGCAGGAAGGCGACCAGATCTCGGCCGGCGACGTTGTTTGCGAGGTGGAGACGGACAAGGCCGTCGTCGACTACGAGGCCACTGATGACTCGTACTTGGCCAAGATCCTGGTGCAGGCCGGCTCGGGAGAAATTGCCGTGGGCCAGCCGATCTTCGTCACTGTAATGGAGAAGAAGGATATGGCCGCCTTCAAGGACTTTTCGGCCGACGCCGCTCCTGCTGTGGAGGCCGCTCCGGTCACGCCCGCCGTTGAGGCCGCCCCGGCTGCTGCTCCGGCCACGCCGGCCCCGGCCGCTGCTACTCCTGCTTCTACTCCCGCTTCGGGCCGCGTATTTGCCAGCCCTCTGGCCAAGAAGGTGGCTCGTGAGTCTGGCGCCGTGCTGTCTGTGATCAACGGTTCGGGCCCCAACGGCCGTATCGTCAAGGCCGACGTGGACGCTGCTCTGGCTGCTGGAACCGCCGCTCCGGCCCAGACTGCGGACGCTGCGGCCCCCTGCTGCGGCTGCTACTGCGGCACCGACCGCCACGGCCAACTACACGGACTACCCGATCAGCCCGGAGGCCCAGGCCGTCGCCCAGCAGTTCACGCAACAGAAGCTGGACGTGCCGCACTACCACTTGTCGACCAACCTGACGATCGACAAGCTTCTGGACGCGCGTGCACGTCTGAACGCCGGCCGTGGCGAGGAGGAGCAGCTGTCTGTGAACGACTTCATCGTACGCGCCGCTTCGCTCGCTATGCGCAAGGTGCCGGACGCCAACTCGAGCTGGAAGGGCTCGTTCATCCGTCAATTCAAGGACGTGAACGTGAACCTGATGGTGTCCACGTCTGCCGGTGGCGTTGTGGCCCCCGTGTTGAACCAGGTGAACCGCAAGGGTCTGGACGACATTAGCAAGGAGACGCAGGCTGCTGTGGCCAAGGCCAACGACGGTGAGTTCGAGTCGGTCGACCTGGCCAACGGCACGTTCACGATTTCCAACGTGGGCCAGTTCGACGTGCAGTCGCTGGCAGGTATCGTGCGTCCGGACCAGGCCTGTCTTCTGGGTCTGGGCACGATCGAGAAGAAGGTGGTGCCGAACGATGACCCCAACGCTGAGCAGATTTATAAGTACGCGCAGGTGATGACCGCCACGCTTGCTTGCGACCACCGCGTCATTGACGGCGCTGTCGGCGCGCAGTGGCTAGCTACCTTTAAGGAGCTGGTGGAGGACCCGCTCAAGATGATCCTGTAAGTGGCTCAAAAAGTCCCAAGTCACCGTGAAGCCGCCAATAAGCGAGTAAGCGATCCCCGAAGGTGTTTGGTTTCATGGTGCTCCAACCGACCTGAACGGCGCTGAACGACTTGATTTTTTTGTCGTGGTCGTGCACTCCTGTGTTATCGTTGCTGACCACGACGTGTTGGCGCCCTGATCGGACTGTAGCAAGCTCCGGTACAATATGTAACTGGAGCAATAGATTGAGGTGGAGGAAGTTGGTAAAAAAACGAATCTTTGGCCATGCTCTGGACTACTTTGAAGTTTGACTTATGCGATCAAAGACGACAGCGCATAACCTCGAAGCTCAGCGTTCCAATCTTTGCAGGTGGCACGTATTGCGTCATTTTATGCCGCTTGGAGCGCACTAGGACTTCCGGTATGTTGTCAGTGCGTAGGCTGTGGCATTAACGAACCCACCGTCAACCAGCAACAACCATGGCCCCGGCATCCCACTTTTGGGACGAATGAGAGCGCAAGTACGCACCCGTCGGTAATGACTTCACGCTACACTACATCGACGTCGGTCCTCGCGACGCCACCCCGGTCGTGCTCGTCCACGGATGGCCCGATCTATGGTTTGGTTGGCGATTCCAGATCCAAGCGCTGTCTAAAACGCACCGCGTGGTCGCGCCGGACTTGCGCGGATTCGGTCGCAGCTCAACTCCCCAAACCGTCGAAGGCTATGGCACCAGAAGGTGACGGGGGACCTCGCCGGACTGCTGGACTTCCTCAACATTCCTCGCGCTGTGTTTGTGGGTCATGACTGGGGTGGTGCATTGATCTGGTGCATGTGTTTGTTCCATCCGGAGCGCGTTATCGCTGCATGTGGTATCTGCACGCCGTACTTCCCGCAAGGCGATGCCTGCGTGGAGTACGACAAGCTCATCCCCGCGATCCCTCAGTTCTTGTACATGAAGCTCCTCGGAGACTCGAAAAGAGCGGCTAAGCTGCTCGATAAGGACCCGCGTCGCATTTTCACGGCCATGTATCGTAAATAAAACGAGTTCGCGGGGGATTTCGAGTTTTTGAAGATGGTAGAAAACGTCAATGACTCCACCGACTCCGTGCACACGCAGCGCTCCGAGTTGCTGTCGGACGCTGAGTTGGACTACTACGTAGCCGAGTACTCGCGTTCGGGATTCTTCGGATCATGCAGCTACTACTCGCAGCGCAAGTGCGACTTTGAGGATGAGAAGGACTTGCCTCGTGTGATCAAACATGAAGCGCTCTACGTTGGCGCTGTGGACGACCCAATTCTCAAACCTGAGCTGGCTGCAGGCATGCCTCGCGTGATGCCTAATCTCAAGCAGGAACTGGTACACGGCGGTGGCCACTGGCTGCTATGGGAGAAGAAGGACGAGGTGATTGATATCCTCCAGCGCTGGCTGAAGAACCTGGATTTATCTAAAACTGCGGCAGGTCTATAACGAATTAATAGCTGTAGTGGTTTGCTTTAGATACTGGCTTAACGAGACGCTAGAAATATTCAATGCTTTGATGCTGGAAAATCGGCATTCACCGAATTATTTTATTGTTGTTTGTCGAAGATCTGTACGTGCACTGAGTGAGTGTACTCAGTCCCTCAGGGAACCCGAAAAAATAATATGCATAAAAATGAATCCTATTTTTTTAATTTAATTATTAATTCTTACCCCTCAATTCATTTTTGAAGTTGTTACAATCCATTCATAAATTGCCAAGGTACAGGCCAACAAAGTCCACAAGGTCGCTTGCTACCAGCCATTTACAATACAGGCTGCCGGCCACGTCCAAACCTACAAAACATCCATTTAGAATTCAATCTACAGTCTTCTGGACACCCCTCTACCGGTACAGTGCCCTCTCTGCCCATCATGGTCCTAACGAGCAGCCAAATTTGCTCAATGCTCTTCACTGAGGTTGGTGACGGCTTCTACAACTGCACGACCTGCGGCAAGCAGTACAAGAAGGGCAACGGCTACACGAATCTACTAAACCACCTATGACGCAACCACGAGGACTATGAGCAAGAAGCCCAAGAAGCTGCGCGCCGCCAGAATTCCCTAAACCTTCGCCTAGTTAGCCAACGTACGCGGGGTCTGCACCTTTGGTTCGAATGGGTGATTTGTGAGCGCCTCCCGTTCGCATTTGTGGAGCGAGGGCTCACCCGGCTGAATATGGCACTTTCTACCGTGTCAGAGGATACGCTACTCCGCTATATAGTATTGCTGTTCGAGGTAGTTGAGGGCCGTGTAGCCAGTGAGTTACCCGAATCATTTGGTCTCGTATTGGACGGCTGGACAAGCAGCAACCGTCACTACGTTGCAATCTTTGCGGTAGTTGGCAGTGCCATCGGTAATACCGGTAAAACCGGTAGCAGCGCGGCCGGTGAGTACTACGAGGACTTAGAGTGCTTATCATGTCGCTTTGTGCTGCTAGCTTTCTCGCCTGTTGAGACGGAGGAAGATCTTAGCGCACAGAGCCAGTATGACCTAATCGCTGATACGCTGTCGCGATACAACAAGCCCTGGAGCGCAGTGAATTTCATGGATGGCGATAACTGCTCCGTTAACCAGTACATTGGCCGATAGGAGGGTGCTATACCGCTAATCGGATGCGCTAGCCACCGCTTTATTTTAGCGGTCAAGGACTTCCTCAAGAACGAAGACGAGTTGATAACCAAGGTCCATACCTTGATGTCCACGTTGCGTACGATCAAAGGTAGAGCCATTCTTCGCCGCGTCTCCCATCTGTCACCTCTGCTGAGGAACGACACCAGATGGTCGAACACGTACGAGATGGTAGAGCGCTACGCCAAACTCCAGCCGGCAATTGTTCAGCTGGGCCTCAATGTCCTCGTGGAGCATGATGTGCAACCTCTCCTACTACGGCGTGCGGAGCACGAGCGCGTCAAGGCGCTTCTTAAAGATTTAGCAGCTTTTGAAGCCGTTACCAAGGAGCTGCCGAAGTCTACGCTTACTTTGTCCGCTTCGCGACGTCTTTTGACCAGGTTGTAAAGGAGTACCCAGCCCTGAAGCCTCGGCTGTCAACAACGGCATCTGTAGTGAACAACCCCAATTTAGAGTAAGGTCTGGGCAAGTTACAGCGTGGGGAGGCGCTAAACGTTGCGGAAAAACTAGCCTGCACTGAATTTAGGTCGCCTGATCTCGAACGGTCGTCTTCAAGAGTCGCCGAGGAGTGCTCTATTGTGAGAGCAGCGTTCAAGAAACGCAAGGTCGTGAAGCGTTCGCACTACGTTGACGTCGCGTACATCCCGCCAACGTCTAACGAGTGTGAGCGCTTCTTCTCTCTTGCTAAGCTGGTGCTGTCTGATCTACGGAAGCGAATGTCTCCAGCCAGGCTTGAGATGATAATGTTTCTGAACTACAATCGCGACTTGTGGGACCTGAGTGCGGTGGACAAGGTACGCTCGAGTATGGGCCGGAATAATGCAAATAACTATTAATTTACTCAGCTCACATCGATGTATTAATCTTAGTATTGCATTTTCGGGTTCCCTGTAGTCCCTACCATAACATGGTCAGACTAGACCATCTAAGGTCAGTGTCTTTCGATAATCGATGATCAAAATTTAGCCATAGCCGAACTAGGACAAGCTCACTCCCCGTCATCTGTATTGTGTCACCTTTTGATCTCCGTTCTAATTACTGCTCCGCAGCCTTCTTGGCCTGGTTGGATTTGTAGATGTCACTGCGCTCGTGCAACACGAGTTTGATCCGAGCCATGGACTTCTTGACCTTCGTCCGTCGCGACGGGTTGGGCATCGTCAGGTTCTTGACACGGCATTGCTGAAGCTCCGTGAGCAGGGCGTTACGTTCCTTGAGCAGCACACAAACCAGAGCTTGTGCAGGTCATCGGTGCTCTTCTGACGTTTTCTAATCGATGGATCATCGTAAACAGACACTAGACTGTGCGCTGCGTCTTCTGTTCCTCCAATATCTTGTCCAGAATGGGGTCCATCCAGTCCTCAAACTTGCAGTAGTTGTCGTTAGGCACCAGCAAGTTGCTAATACGATTAATGCCACGGCGACGCAGACCTTTGCCCTTTTAAGAGAAGTCTCCGATGTATGTAGGACCCAGACACTTGATGAAAACCTCTTCGAAACTACCAGCCGACGACACGATCACATCCACCATCTTATGTTGCGCTAGGAAGCGCAGTGTCTCGCGCAGGTCACTAGAGATGAGGTTGGACGTGTAGCCCAGGAAGATCTTGGTCTTCACAGTCTTACGGAAATCTGCAATATCCAGGCCTTCCAGGACCACCTGCTTAAGCCCACACTGGCCGGAACCTGCGTCAGGCTGCTGGCCTCGGCGCCCTCGCCTACCACCTCCTGCACTGGGAAGAAGTCCTCGAGCCGCGACGGGCCGTTTGGCCCGCATTCTCTGTTGATGGCACTAAGTTGGCTTAAGTACGATCTGAGTCCAATCTGAATCTGATTCCGTCGAATTTTTTTTTATCGGCATGCTATTATCCAGATTTCACAGCCAATTTTGTCCAGGTATGGAATTTATTTTTTGTTTCCGAGAAAAGCATTTTTTTTTCTCACAACCACCGATTGGAAAAACAAGCCACACGGCAGCTATCTGACCCCGCGAGTGCTGTCCCCCTTTTCCCCTTGCCGTGGCACGGACCCACAAAACTGCCATGATCAAGGCACAGATGCAGGGATACTGAATATTGCATTTTTATCTATTGCTAATCAAAGCAGAAAATAAATAATTGGGTTAGAGAACTGACTAGACCAAAATGGATTATTGAGCTTCCTCAACTCAGAAAATAAATTGTTGGTGCAGCAATATTGATACACAGCAAGGGCACAAGTATTAAAGAATGTAAGGCTGAGTAAACGACGCCCAATAGATTATTGGTGCTACAACGGGAGCGAAAAGAATTATTTGGTCCTTCTCCTCCAATAGATAATTGGTGTTTTCTTATTGCAATAATTGCGGCACCAATTTATTTTTCGGCATCCCTGCACAGATGGCGGAGAAGGCTCGCCTCGAAGAAGAAGAAGCACGCCGGCGAAACGACACTCAGGTTGCAGACCTTGAAAGCGCGCGAACGCGCTCCGAGAAAAAAGGCGCGTTTTTTTTAATCCGCGCGAGCGAGCGCCCGAGTGACGATCCCGTTATCCCCATACTACAGGAGCTAAGGACGCAGAGGAAGAGGCTGACACAGAAGAAAAAGAAGAGAGAATAGAAGAGCAAAAATCCAAAGAAGGAGCATCAGAAGAAGAAAATGAGGAAGTAAATTTTAAAGAAGAGGAAGCTGAAGAAGACGAAAGTGAAGGAAATGAATCAGCTACTGCTGAAGAAGATTACGAAGAGGACATTAAGGAAAAGTCTTCTGGAGTAAAGGTGGGCAAGGGAAACAAACGGTCACTTTCGGATGTGGACGATGAGTATTTGGTTGGGATCCCTGCCTTTAAGAAGGAACATGACTCTATTGAGGGGTACCGGTTTCAGGCGGTAAGCACCCATAAACCGGTAGCCAAACCGGTCCAACACGATCCCGCGATAATTACGGTACGTTGATTAGACGAGTAGGATGATTGGACGAGTGCAGAGTGTTGGTGATTGGATGCACCAATTGATTGGATGACCTAGGTAGTGAGGACTGTGTAAGCTCCGATAAATCAATCACTTCGGAATCTTCCTTCTTCCCCTCAAGTGTCTTCGCTCCGGTCTACTCCCCGAGTGGTGACTCTTCCCTTCGCTCCGTACAAGCCCAACGTTGCCTAAAACCCGTGACCTCTATCAGGTTATGAGCCCAAGTAACATGTCCTCTGCGCAAGACGTTTCAGCTAAGGTCTCCATCGACAAGTTCAACGGTGACAACTACGCGACGTGGAGCCGCTTCATGCGTGGTGTGTTCCTGGCCAAGTCAGTATGGCATGTCGTAAGCCGAGAGACGACTCCAAGCTTCCCGGACCCTCGTGCGAAGGACGAATATGTCAAGTCGAGCAACATCGCGTTCGGATTGATGCTGCTCCACGTGGATGCGGACTACCACCACGTGGTCGACAACTGCGAGGAAGCGTGGACCGCGTGGGCGCGCTTGAAGACGTTGTACGGTGGATCGCAGAAGGCAGGTCGTATTTACCTGAAGCGACAGCTCTTCAGCATGGAGATGTCTGAAGGCGCAAATGTATTGCATCACTGCAATGAAGTTCTCAACATCAGCGCCAAGCTTAGTAGCATCGGCGCTAAGATGGAGGACGAGGACGTTGCGATCTGCTTGTTGCGCAGTCTCCCCAAGAGTTACGAGAACGTCGTGCTACACCTGGAGATGAGTACTGCTGAGCTGAAGTCGCAAGACGTTGGGAAGGTGCTCAAGAACGAGCATATCAAGCGACAAGGCGAGAAGACCTCTGCGGTGAAGACTGAAGACGCGGCGAAGGCGTTCAGTACCGAGCGGGAGTCTCGCCAGTGTACTTACTGCGGAAAATTGGGGCACGTGATTGAGAAGCGCTGGACCAAGCCGAAGGATGAGAATCGAGGAGGCCGACGCGGCGGCAGCAGTCGTGGACGCGGGGCAACAATGTCCAGTTGCGAAACGACGACTACGACCACGGCTATAATCGCGTGGCATTTGCGGTTTCGTTGGAATGTGGAGTTTTGACTGATAAGAGTATGTCCGGGCTGTGGGCAGTCGACAGCGGTGCTACACACCATATCTGCAATGACAAAATTAAGTTTGTCATGCTGAACGAACGAGAGGAAGGCGAGCTGAAGGTCGCTGATGGCACGAACGTTGCAGTTAAGGGTGTGGGGACCATCATCGAGCGTGTGGTTCTGCCCATCGGCGATGAGCGCGAGATCGAGATCAACAACGCGCTCTACGTGCCGAAGATGAAGAAGAACTTGCTTTCGGTGCCGCAGATAAAAAACCGGCAAATTTCAAGTGGTGTTCGACGGTGAAACCATGCACGTTGCGCACAAGGATTCGAAGGAAGTGGTGGCTATAGCAGATCTCGTAGACGGTCTTTACTGGCTGCGCACACCACTATGCTCGATAAACGCAGTGACTTCGAAGTCGAGCGTTGACTTGCACGCGCGCATGGGCCATGCTCCTATCGACGTGCTACGCAAGATGGTCAACAGCGGCATGATCAAGGATGCCAAGGCACCTTTGAAGTCAAGTGAGCAAAGTGTCTGTCGTGGGTGTCAGCAAGGGAAAATGGTCCAGAAGTCGCTCCCCAGTAACTGCGACAAACGCAGTTACAACACGTTCAAGTTGCTTCATTTCGACATCTGCGGCCCCATGGAAGCAGAATCGTTGGGTGGGAGCAAGTACTTGCTGCTCATCGTTGACGAAGCCAGTGGATGCATGAAGGGTTTCTGCTTACGAGCCATGTCGGACGCTGAAGAATGCCTCAAGAGGTATATCACGAAGGTACAGACGCAATTCGGCAAGCGGGTCAAGTTCGTACGCCATGACGGAGCTCGTGAGTTCGCGACAAACTCACTCAAGGTGTTCTACGAAGATCGACGCATCGAACAGCAGACCACATTTCCGTACGCGCACCAGACGAACGGCACTGCAGAACGAGCTATATTATTTGCAGTTATTAATAATCATTTAATAGATTATTCTACTCCTATTAATTTAAATTATTTTTTTTGGATTCGGTTCATTTACATTAATGAAATATTCAAATATAATATTATATTTTTGGAAAAGTAGCTCAGTTGGTTAGAGTGGTAGCTTGTCACGCTATAGGTCGCGGGTTCGAGCCCCGTTTTTTTCGTTTAATTATATTATACAGGACTATCTTCACATTTGGTCGCAGCATGTTGCACCATGCCAAGTTGGAAAAGTGTTTCTGGGGCGAAGCGGTGATGGCCGCTATCTACGCTAAGAACCGTCTACCGTCACCCAAGATCGAAAGCAAGACTCCATATGAGATCGTGTACAAGCTCAAGCCAAGTGTGAAGCACATGCGTGTGTTTGGTTGTCGGACGTACGCCCTAACTCCAAGGGAAAAGAGACTTAAGTGGGACCCCAAGGCTTGAGAAGGGTTGTTCATGGGTTATGAAGAAGTGTCAAAGGCGTATCGAGTTTATGACATCGAGGCGGGGAAGGTGGTGATAAGTCGCGATGTCCATTTCGACGAATCAAACTTTGGGTTTTGAACGGCTAGTCCAAGCGACGACGACGCAGATTCTGATCTTGACCTCGACTCTCTCAGTATCAACGATACCGAAACTGCGGGCCCAACGGAATTCAAGCAGGCGGGGAAACGCAAGTCCCGCACGAGTAACGCTCACGACATGACTACGAGATCGCGCGCTGCACAGCAGGCTGCCGGTTTGGAGGAAGCTAGTGCTCGAGAAACCTCGTTTGAGCGTCAAACCAAGCACCGATCAGGTGTGCGAAATGACTGTGATGTGGCCGATGAAGAAGAAAAAGACGTCGAGGATCAAGACGACGATGACGCAACTCCGCCTGTATTTTGGCGAGCATGTGCCAACGCAGTGGAAGCTGGTGATTTAGCTGAACCGGCAACGTTTCAAGAAGCGGTAAACGGGTCTGATCAAGTGCATTAGCGCAAGGTCATCCGTGCCGAACTTAAGTCGATGCGACTTCGCGGTGTGTTCCGAGCTGCCAAGTTACCGAATGGTCAACGGGCCATCGGTACGAAGTGGGTGTTCAAGATCAAACGCAAAGCGGATGGTTCAATCGAGAAGTACAAGGCGCGCCTTGTAGCAAAAGGCTTCAAGCATAAGTATGGCATTGACTACACCGAAACGTTTTCGCCCGTGGTGAAGTATGTGACGCTGCGCATGATCATCGCTTTGGTCGTGTACCTCGGCTGGCCCCTGGACCAGCTGGACGTGGTAACAGCATTCCTGTATGGCAAAATGAAAGAGGTGGTGTTCTGCATGGTGCCAGAAGGTGTCGAACTTGATGATGACTTCGACTGCCTGGAGCTGGTGAAGGCGATCTATGGTCTCAAGCAAGCATCGCGCGTGTGGAACGAGACCTTCGACGACTACGTGTGCTCCATCGGCTTTCAAGTTTCAGTATACGACGTGTCTCTACATCAAGATTGTGGATGGTCACTGTGTGCTTCTGCTGGTCTACGTAGACGACGTTTTGGTGACTGGTAGCTCGGCCGAGCTCATTACAACCACCAAGAGCGATCTAAAGAAGCGCTTCGAGATGACCGACAGTGGCAAGTGTGCGCTCGTACTGGGAATCGAGTTGGCGTACAACGCTGACGGGAGCGTGACGGTGTGCCAGCGCCGATATGTCGACGACATCCTTAAGCGTTTTGGTATGGATAAGTGCAAGGCGGTGGTGAGTCCAGCTGATTTGAGCTCTCGACTAGTCCCAAGCAGTGCATCGACCAAGGTGAACGCTCCGTTCCGCGAGG